AAGATGCAATTATTCAAGTCCACTTTTTAGTTGCTGAGCAGATGATGGGTTATGGTTTTGTTAAGCCATTAATGTGTGAAAGTGGGAAAGAAGCCAAGATGACAAACTTAAATACAATGATTGCATTTCATGAAGCCTATGGAGCCGCAGAGTCTGAGTCGAAGGCTGAAGGCTACAAACTAAAAACAGCCAAATGCAAGGAAAACCATGACTTCAGCTGGGACTGTCCCTGCTGAAATTGTTGTAAACCATAAAACCCACAATTGAATCGGCCTTATTCAGAGAATGTAGCCAGGGGATGAGCTGTGCAGAACACATCGAGCAGAAATACACACACTGACACACAGAAACCATTAGTTAGGAGAAAAAAACACAGGCTCTGTCACCCACAAACAACATAATTAGATTTTTCAACAAATGACCATCCTATATTTCATGTCAGACAAAACATCTTTTGAGGAGCACAAATACTGAGGGGGCCATAAAGCACCAGCGTCTGACAGATATCTTATAGACCACAAAATGTTTCTGACTGTGGTAAACACATATGTCAAATTTAATGCACGCAATTATGACGCTAGCTTAGTCAAGGATGTACACACAGATGTAAATATAAGGCAACATTTAAGACATCTTTCAGAATGATTGTCCAGAAAGTCATCTTATTAAAAAGGATTTACAGTAAACATTATCTAAAGAACAAAGTTGATGATCTCAGTCAACCGAATGACAAATATGCTGCACTTTGGGAAATACACTTATTTACTACACTTTATTACGCTTGGATGAGATGATCACTTTTGTGTCTGTGCAGTAAATGTAAAGTTACAGCAGTCGCCAGTCAGCTTCACTTTGGTAGCTAATAACCAGTCTGGCAAATGTTCATGTATTCAAACCCATATTTGAATAATTTAGATAATAAGTGAGCTTTTCCCCTGTTTACAGTCCTTATGCTAAAGTAATTATGATTTACCATACAGCCACAAGAGTGTTATTGATGTCCTCATCTAACTCTCACAATCAAATAAGCAAATCTCTGAATATGTCTGACTGCGACTTTAATTTTACTCTAGAACTTGAAATTGAACTTCAGTCTTCAATCTTCCCTTTAGCCCACAGGACAACTCATAAAATAGAATTACAGTACATCCACTCGCTTAGAAATGTTTATAGACTCAATCACTGTTCCCAGAAAAGAAAATTACAAGAGGAACCATGTGTTCAACTATAACAGCATTTCTTTAAAAGATTTTAAAAAAATCTGAATCAAACTGTTTATAGAGACATGAGGATCTGATTAGAAAGATCTTGTACAATTTGAACTTTACAAGTTTTTAAACAATGATATGTGATGTAGTCTTGTTACCTCTGTCAAGGAGGTTATGTTATTGTCTGCCCAAATGATTTTCTGTGAACTGTTATGGAGGGATGGAACATAACTGGAGAAAGAACCCATTCAATTTTGGTGTGGATCAAGATCAGGGGTTGGATCCAGAATAGTTTTGGGTGCGGATCCAACTTAAAACGTGGATGTAGTGAAAATAAATGTTTTTTCATGAGGGGACTATTGGGCCTTGCTTGTTTATTAGTTAGCAGGATTATGCCAAAACTACAACATGGATTTCCATTTAGTTTTGTGGAGGTGTGGGGCATGACTCAAGAAAGAATTTCAAAGTGGTTTCATGAGGAGACTGTTGGGCCTTGGTGGAGGAGGCATGCACTCTACTGAGTATCATAATAGTTGTGTATTAGTTTTCTGGATTTTACTTACTTAGTTCGTCATTATGACAAAATAAAGAGTTGAAACCATTAGTCCATTAATAAAGTGGTTGATATGTTTTAGTAACCATTTAATCATTTTACTCATTACTTAAACAAAAAAGCAGAATTCCACATTTTCATTTCTTGTGAATATTTTATTTTCTAGTTTCTTTAAATCTTCAATAGAAGTTGGTATCTTTAGGTGAATATATCAGGATGTTATTCTCATATTTTATAGACCAATGAACTGACTAAGATGTCACCGGCACCAAAAAGCGTCACTTGAGTCTCCTCTAACTCACATCTAAACTTTTCTGTTTTAACTACCAACGATACTTGGAATAACACAGTGTGATTTCTGTGTGAGCAGTGCTAATGGAAGATGATGGTGATGATAGCAATGTTTCATAAAACACACAATGTTGTCATTATGTGGAGCCGACCCTGTGGGCTGCCGAGGGTCCACAGGTTGGAGCCGGGGTCAGCCCCTGTCGCTCCAGGCTCAACGGCCTGGACAAGGGTCAAGCCTAATTGAGGCATTTTGGTAGGCAGCTTTTCATTTGGTATTAAAGTGAAAAAGTGAGTGTAACGACTGGCTGAGCACACACTCAATCTGCTCCACACAGAGGATTAGAAGTGTGTTTAAAGGACTTTTAGCTTTTGCTGAGGAGCAGCCCCGGGCCTCGATTAAACACACGAAGAAGCTTTTTAGACACACTGAGACACATTCAGCCTTAAGTTTTGAAAAAGTGCAGCGAAAGCAACAGTAAATGTTACAAGTCACATCCAATTCTCTGAAGCCAATTGGGCACAGCAGCCAGTGCACGGCTCTCAGCAAACTTTCTCTAAATAGGACAATATGTAACTCTTACAAGAAACAAGAAAAGATGTGTGTCCTCTGCTCTCAAAGTCAAGTAAGCAAATGTTTGCTTCTTTGTTTTGGAAGTTCCCCGTTTCCATTTATATGTGGTGAGCAAGAGAGCAACCCCAGTACAAAATCAAACTCAGCTGACAATGGCCAGAAAAGAAGGTGGATTTATATATGTATATATGTATATGTATATATATATGTATATATATATATATATATATATATATATACATATAGAGGAAATTAAGAAAGAAAGAAAGACATCAGCAGGACAGAGGGAAAGAGACGGAGAGAGAGTGGAGCCAGACATCCTCCTCGGCCTGAGGGGCTGTCATTCTTTAAAAGTGTTGAGAACAAAGATGAGACTGCAGAGTGGTTAGAGGAGTTTTTATCCAACACACCCAAACACATGCACATGCAAGCACACGCAAACGTTTCTGGAAGTCTCTTCTCTGAATGACGAAACCAAAAGGGGGACAAGTAGGATTTAACTAAGAGCAGATGCATCCACCCTAAATGTTCAGATTCTAAAAGCTGAAATATAAAACAGTTCACTCAATAGCCAACACTGTGGGGACGTTCGCTGACAACAAAGTGATAAATAGCAGTCCAATCAGAGGAGAAGAAGGGGGTTATATTTAGCGAGTCTACCACTCTCCTCCAGAATGTGATCTCTGACATAGTATGCATTGTTTACACCCAGCTGTTTATGCTTTGCTTTGCTATGTGTTCCTGCGGGGGTGCTCATAAACACCCTGCAAGACATAAAGGAAAATGAATCTGAAATAGACTTGTCAAGAGTTTGTTAGAAACGCTCCACTGCACAGGGTGGCGTGGTGCGACTGCTCGGCAATATGGTGTCAGCGGACGGACGCGGGCAGCTCAGCTCAGGTCAGCTCGGGATGAAGCAGATGAATAGCATCTTAATCAAAATCAATCGCGTCTGTGTTTAAATGGAAGATGTCACACAAAGGGAAGTGATTCACACGTGTATAAAAGGAGATTGTGTTTCAATATGAGGAGGGTCAGTAAGTTTATTCACACACACACACTTAGAAAGAGGAAACTCAATCTTTCATCTCAAAGTGTCGACCTCTTGTGGTCTCATGGCCACAGAGAGTCAGATTTGACCTTTTATGATTTTGTGATTTCTTTCATACATTATCACAATTACTCTCAATTAATCCAGAGACAGTTTCCCTGGTGTATTTCTTCATTAGAGAGTTCCAATCAAAAGTTTCCAACCTTTCAACCCCACTGGACCAGATGGATCTCACACACACACACACACACGCACGTCCATTTGCATTATGGTTACTTCTTTGTTGTCCCTATAAGGAACACAGGTCCCCACAATGTGACCATGTTTAGGTCCCCACAACATGAGTAATAACTTGAACACACTCACAATGCAAAGCAGCAGGCATGAGACACACAGCAGATTCTCCTCTGATATCCGGAGTAAGCTATTTCAACGTTTCCATCGCACTTATGTGATTGTGTGGATGGAGACCTGTTTACATAAGGTTGAAGCAGATGAGTGAGTGAGTGTGTACACACTCAGGTAAACCAGACCCACTCCGCCATTCTGGATGTCGATGGAGCGATCCATCAAGTTCGACAGCCAGCCTGCTGGTCGAGATCCTGCAGGTTAAAGCTGCGACTTTGTCTCGTGTTGGAAAAACGGCCTGAGACACTCGCAGTAGCAGACTGACACAGATGAGAGCGACAATATAAAGTAGTTTGTAGTGGGTTGTATAATAGCGTCTGCTCTTATTGATGTCATTCTTTGTAATCTGGGGAAATCCAACATACTTTTTTAACTGATTTCAGCCATTCAGCAAATCAGAGCTAATGAATCAGGAATAAACGCAGAGATGATTCTGATGGAAGCACATGGATGGTCGGGCAGAAAAAATTAGGACAGACACACACACACACTCACACTCACACACACACTCACACACACACACACACACACACACACACACACACTCACACATACACATCACCACAAGCCTTCATCTCCTCACATGGAGCACCCCAGAGTACATTCATGTGCCGATCAGCTTTCATTCCCTTCCCTTTGCTCTTTCTGTTGTTCTTTCTCCCTTGCTCGAAATCTCTGTTCTCAATTAAAGCTGTCCTCAGGAAACTCAATCTCTTCACTCATGCTTTCCCAGAAACACACACACACATACACAAGAGGGAGAGAGAGAGGACACACACACACACACACACACACACACGTCTCACTCAAGCTCTGACATGTCCTCTGTCCGTCTGCTTCTTTCTCACACACACACTGCCACACAAGTTATAGCAAAAATCTTAAAAAACAAAAAGGGTCTGGACGAGCAAAACTTACCAGAGCTGGGATGTGACGGACGCAGCTCTGGGTGCTGCTGAGCGAGGGTGGTTGAGAGGAGAGCTGAGCTGAGAGTAGTAGCTGTGTTTGTCAGTCAGAAGTCTCTCTCACAGTGACGAGAGAGCTCAGCCTGTTGCATTCCGCCTCTCTCTCCTTTTCCCGTCTCTCTCTCTCTCTCTCTCTCTCTCTCTCACCAACATACACCCTCTCACTCTCTGTCTCTCTATCTCTCTCCTCCTGAAATCATGTGTACTTTGATTCACAAACCCTGCCTCTGTCACGTGATCCAACACTTCAAATATACAGCACATTTTTTACCAGCCACAGAATGCCCGAAGGAAGGGAAAACAGGGTCCAGAAAGCTTAGGTTTCAACTTGCTGCCCACCCCCTCTCTTTCCCTCTCTCCCTCTCTTTCTCCCTCTCTTTCTCCCTCTCTCTTTCTTTGTCTCACAGTCTCTCTCTTCACCTCCATTCCTTCCACACTGTACCATCAGTCAGCACTCCTTTGTTGGATTTCAACTCTTCGACTGTTTGTTTTGTATTTCTAAAAATGCTTCTCTTCTGCTCACCGTCCAAAGATAGGCCAACACATACACACACACACACACACACATACACACACACAACTGCACTAATGAAACAGCCATTAACTCACATACACAAACACACACATGCTGCAGAAGGCTGCACACCTTTGGGGATATCAGTGTCAGCTCTTGGCTTTCGCTCTGTGTTTACAATGCCTCGACTTTGGGACTGTGGCCAAACCAATGTGGGAGTCCAGGGGCCTGGGGCCAATCAGGGGCCCTCAATGCTTCACTGTGACTTCATTTGACTGATGGGAAAGAAATAAACCTTCTCTGCATCAGTGTCCGAATGAACCAAGATGATACAAACAATAACTTCAACAGCGGAATGGCAACATTTAATATGTAAAATGATTATGAAATAATAAAGCAATGAAGCAAACTTAAAGAGTGAGATCATAAATATGATCCGCTACAAAAGAGTAAAGATGAGGATTTTTATAAAGAATAAGAATAAAGATAAAAAGTAAAATTAAAGAATCAGATTCATTAAAATAAGAATAGGACTATGATTAAGGGAAATGATAAGAATACAAATAAGATCAAGAGTAACAGTAAGAATAAGAATAAGATGATAAAAAAGGGGAAAGAATTATAGAGTAAAATATGAAGTGCATACAAATCTACAGTACAAATATACTCTGGGAAAATCAGACAGCCTGGTATATATGTTAGGTGACCACATTAAATCTCCAAAATGTAAATGACCATGAGCTGTTTTCCATCTTGCCTGTAGCCTGAGAAATACAAAGAGCCATTCAGCAAGCACCTTTAAATCAGTTCAAGTGGACTTTTCTTCCTCCTACAGGATTTTCCTAAGCAAATCAACCCAGCAGTTTTCTAGTAAGGAAGTATTTAGTGGAGAAACATTTGATCCGTGATCAGATCAAACCTGGCCAGTCGGCCCCCCCAAGAGGCAGAGGTACCTGCCTCTTCATGTCAGAGATAAAACCGTCTGCAACTGTCTAACTGACGGCCTCAGTGGCTCCGACTAATGTATGTGTACGAGTGATGACAGCTACAGTCAGTACAGGTCACCTCCCAAAACAAGAGCCAACACACAAAACCCTTTTCTCTATACCTCCATTTTGACTGATAATAAGGTTTCAAACTTAAATGAACTGTTTTGGATTCATCATATTCATCTTAGAAGTAGGGTTAGTTATTTGATTCAGAAACACTTTTTTATCTTATTTGTTGAAACCCTCTTCACCTACTGAAAGCCATCAGCAAATAAAGTTGTCTGGGAAAAAAAGCCACTGTCTGTGGCCCTCGCAGGACTGAAATAAACACAACCACATGATTGGTTGGTTCGCCCGTCTGTCTGTCACTTACCGACCTGCCTGCCTGCTTTCACTGTGCATGAGTGAAGTCTTCAGACGGAGAGACAAACACCACTGAAGCAGAAATGACAGACAGAAGTAAGCAAGAGAGTCATGGAAAAGTCATCTACTAGCAGTTGCCAGTGCACGTTCACGTGTTCTGGGGTTGTAGGTTTGACGAGAGGGCTGATGGGAGGGGCTTGGATGTAAGTGTAGCCTGCTCTTGCTAGCATTTCCAGGATTGCAACCCTAGCTTTCAGGACATTCTTTACACAGTTTGTCCAAAAATTTACAACTTGTCCGTTTTTTCTTTAGAAATTAAACTTTCTGTTGTAACCCATCTGTCCACTAGTGGCTCCACTAATTTGACTTCCTCTGTTGACCCAAGATTGTCACTCAGTAGATCACATACATCTGCCAAGGCCCAACAATTCCCTTCATTCTAATCAATTTGTTATTATATAAGGAAAACAGTGGAAATAACACAAAATGAAAGAAAGAGAAAAAAGTTCCTGGATCTGCCCCCTGATCTGGATCCACATGGATGACACATACCACATCCTTCCACCAAGTTTCCTGGTAATCTGTCCTGTAGTTTTTGTGTAATCTTGCTCACAAACAAACATAATATTTCATATTTATATATTCACTTGAATAATTGAATTCAAACCAAACTCTACAGAGGCAGTTTGATCTTTTGCAAAGAAACAAATGAATAAATAAATAATAAATATATGTTTCTCTTCAGTGATGTAACATGTGCTTTTAATAGAAGAACAAAAGAAATCAGGACGGGACTTGGTGATATTTGTCTCTTCTTACTACCTCACTATCTTCATTTAATACACTGAGTGTCATATTTAACTAATATAAATACACCGTTACAGAATGATTACTGTAATAAAACCATTGAGCATATAAAACACTCAGTGCTGTTGTTGTCATGTTCTTATCAAGCCTCAAGACTCCAATCACACTTGTTGATCACTTTGGCAACAAAATACAAATGTGAGAGGCGTCCGTTGCTGTGAGCATCTGGGTCAGTGCCACACTTGCAGCAACAGTGTCAGCGAGAGGGTGAAAGGTCAGCGCTGTTTGTGTTTCTGTGTCAGTGAAATGTGCAAAGAAGGAGGGGAGTGTGTGTGACATCTGGAGTGTGAAAGAGGCATTTGTGTATTTCTGACTGTGAATGTGGGAGAGATAATAAGCATCCTCTCCTGCACATGCATTCACACGTCGACGCAGGCACGCACGCACACAATTGTACGCATTCTCCCCTGCTTTTTGTTTTGCATCAACCAACGTCAAAACAGATTGACACAGAGAGCAGATTAGGAACATGAGAGGGGCTCCGGTGCGGCCGGCAGGTTAAGTTTTATCAGAGGCTCTGTCTGTGATAAAGAGGCTAAAGATGGACGGCACAGGCGAAAGAAAGAACAAAGACATGGAGGAAAACTGTGGAGTGAGTGGAAGTGGGGAGCTCATAACTTTCTGCAGAGCTCGAAATGGGGCCCTTTTTGGCAGCGAGCAGTGGAGAAACCGCAGAATGGTGCGACTCTGGAATTGAGGGGTGGAGGAGGCAGGAGAAGGGGGGATGGCGGCGGCAGTGGTGGGGGCAAGTCAAAGGACAGGGAAGTAGGAGAGAGAGAGGGAGCAGAAGGGAGGGAGAAGAAAAGAAAAGGGTGAAGGAGGACGGCGCAGACGGCAGGTTTTAATCAGCAACAGGCTGTTGGTAATGAGATCACTATCCCACTGCTCTCAGATTGATGTCATGTGAAGCTCTGCGGTGCACAGAGAGGCATGTGGAGGACGACAGGCATGCATGATAAGCTTGTGCACTCAAAAACACACAGGCGTGCACGCAGAAAGGTATAAGACAAAGAGTCACACTTATAATAAGGCTGGCAAATACCCATAAACTCATAAACATGGGCACACAGGAAAGAAACAAAGAACCTTGAATACGCCACAACACCCTGCTGTTAATTTTCTCCAAGCGAGAGAAAGAGCTGACACAAACATAATCACACCCACACATACACCATAAACACATTTCAGATCCCAGGGCTCCATTATGTCTTTTCTGTCTCTCAAACAGCGAAACATGACTACACACAAAGAACATACTGTACCAGTGGTGAGGGTTGGCTAGACTTGCAGGCGGAAAAAAAAGGAGTAAAAGGAGGAGAGAAAATGAGGACTATACAGGGGAAGACGAGGAGGGAGAGAAAGGGAAAGGGGTGACACTCAAGGTAGCAGTTCAGTTCGGGGTTATAAAACTTTAATGCATTAGCTGAGAAACTTGGGAGGTTGTGTTAAACCATATGTGTGTGTGTACGCAGTGCCACAACCAAACATATTAATTTATTAAAACATGCCAGGCAGATTTGCATGTTTGGTTTTGTTGGTGTTTGCGACTGTTGGTGTTTGTGGGCAAGTGGAGAGAAGGAGAAAGAAAAGAAGATGGAAAAGAAAAGAGGAGGTTGGGGGGGGGGGGTGTACATGTGCATCCAATGAACAGTGAATAGTTTTTCCTTTATAAATGTTCCCCAAAATTCAACCATGATGTCACCGTGAACCTGTTGTGAACTCAACTCTGTCAACTACCATTACTGTTCCACTGTGCGCTCCCTACCGCTTCACCCTGCTGCCTCTCCATCTCCATCCACTCCGTCCCCACGACGTAATCCTGGGCCTCCACTCCATCTTTTTGCCATACAGTGTTGTCTGGCTGCATTTTTCTTTTTCGATACGACACGCACACACTCACAAACACACTCTCACACACACCTCATAACATAACCACAAACACACCCACACACACAAAGCGCTCACAGCCATTTGGAACGTCTCTGGTATAACAAGGACAGTTTTAATCAGAACAAGCTGGCATATTTTGGCCAAGACCTGCACTTATGGTAATTCAATCAGAAAGGGAGGGGAGAAACTGAAAAAAAAGGGGCACAAGGAGGGTAGTGGAGTGTGAGACGGGGGGGGGAAATAAGAAAAACAGAGGGAGGAAAAAGGAGACAGTGGGCGGATGGGAGGGTGAGGTAGGGGTTGAGTGGTTGAAGGAGTTTGATCCACATGTGGAAGCCATTGTCTAATTACGGCAGATATGTATAAGTGTTACTGCCTGCAGGACAGATGGTGATTGGAGGGCGCACAGCTACACCAAAATGAGATGACTGGATACGAGAGGGGGGGATGAAGTCAGGTAGTTGGTAGAGAGAGAGAAGTGTCATGATGGATCCAGAATCATCTCCCTGTGCTTTCTCCTCAGCGTCAGACACAGGATTTATTCCAAATTTAGGGATCCATCCAATCAGCTCATTCAGAGGAGGCCAGCTTCAGCCTCATCCCCAG